AAATTAAAGATTTTTTAAATCCTAAAATTTTACTTTAAAAACGGTGTTGATCCTAACAAACTCTAAACTCAAAAACTAAATCATACATAACATAGTTAATCTTAAATATAAATAATATTTTAAATAAATAATATAATATTAGTAATATTTTAAAATATTTTTTTCAAATGATGATATTTTTGAAAAAAGAAAAATTGCTTTCAATAACCAAAAAAAAATCTATAATCAAAATCCTAACTATTTAACCTAAATCTAAGGGTTGATATTGAACCACATATGCTAATTTTGTTATTTTCTCAATTATTAATTTTTTTTTTGGTCATTTCTGCAATTGAAAAAAAAAAATATTAGAGGTATAAATACGTTTGTAACGCTAATTGTTTTATTGGATCATTTCTTTTAGCAGTGATCTGTTAGATTGGTCAGATTTATAAGGCGATTTTGTAGACCGTTTCAGTGACTTTTTGGGATGTGTTTTGGTGATGAGTTTCGGTATATGGTTCATTCTAAAGAAATTATTTGGGATGGAAAGTGCTCCAATTGCATATGTTAAAATACGGTTCTAGTGAAATGAATAATGCTATTTTAGTTAGGAAGATTTTTTTTTTGTTTATCAATTTAGAATATATTATTATGCATGTATTACTAAACTGTTCCTACATGCATAAAATAGATAATGATTTTAAATGACAAAAAATATCAGGATTGTTTTTGAAACATGATAGAAGCTATTTTTAAAAATAAAAAAAAACATGATAGAAGCTATATGGAGTATATAAGAAATTTATATAAAAATAAATATGTTTCAAAAATGTAGAAGCAAGTACCACGACGACTTTAAATTAGTCAAATTTTGTTTAATTTGACCATTGTCTCACCAAATATCTTTTAGACTGCTTTCTTAATCAAACTACACATATTAAACAGTTTTATGAATATATATATATTGGAAATAGATGAAAGATTGTTGAAATTTGTAAGGCCAAGTGTTATATATTCATATAATCTTTGTTTTAATTCATTTTTGTGCGATGGTATGTCACAAATTTTCACATAATATATAACCCAACAAAACATGTAAGAAATGATATCTGATCCAAACTCCAAAGTAAATTAATGAAGAAAAAAAGAATCAATTTTGAGTAGTTTCTTTTGACTAGTATCTTAGATTCTTACACAAGGTTAAGCCTAAACCGAAATTGCAAGACTATAGAACTTGTCAGCATCTTGCAAATG